AATCTACTTGGTTAGGTATGCTACAAACACATAAAAAAAGAGGTGGCTTATAACAAAGTGCTCAAATTCAAAAAAATGGTAGATACATCATAATTACAAAATAATTGAAAGATAAATATATATAATTTTTTAATATAGTGTTGGAGGCGTGTGATTTATTTGAAAATAAACAACTCCTCTTGTATTGAACTTTCTCACAAAATACACCTGGTTATTCAGATAAATTTCATCCTATGAATCTATACATACATGAACCATACGATTAAATATTGTAAGATCAAATAATCGTCTCCTGAAATTAAATACTTCAAGTTAAATAAATCTCGCTATTTAATAAACTCTCGATCTTTCATACTTCTAGGTTTGAAGAGGAAAACAATTCGACATATGTATAATGTCACCCTCATGACGTGAAATTTCATTTTTATTTTTTTCTCTCATGCCTTTTTAAATGAGTCATATTGATTTTCTCGAGATGAGATATCTTTCACCGCATGTTACTTGATATATATATTTTTAGTTCCTATTTCCAACTCTCATGATATATATCTTCTTTTTAGTCTAGGTCTCTTGTTTGCCTCTTTTTTTTTTGTAAGAATTTGAAATTATAATATCGTTGTTGTGTGTTTTTCTAGGAAAGCCGATCTTCATCCTTCCATATATATTTCTTAGTAATAAAGAAAAGCTTAATGTAACGTAGGGCCAGTAGAGTCTTTTATATTTTTGTGATTGATTGGTGACAGATCAAACTAGTAAAGTATAGTGAATTTATTTCTTTACAAATTAAAGATGATAAGGATCAGGCTTAAAAGAATATATATTTTTAAGTAAAATTAATTTTAACAATTTAAAGTAAAAAATCAAAACTTAAAAGCATGTATTACAAAATAAAAAATAATAATAATAAATGTTGGGGTTGTAAGGGTATAATGCAAACAAAGTCCGGTTAGGGGAGGGTGTGATCCATGGTATACAAATGAGACAATTATATTTCGGTTGGTACGAGGTCTTTTGGATGAAATCAAAAACAAAATCGTGATAAAGCAAAGTCATGAAAACTATATTCAAAACGGATAATATCATACGATTGTGGAGATATTCAGAATTAAAGCAGCATTATCCTAGAGGAATTTAATAGAGTAGGTTGAGAACTAGAGTAGCATTCTAACTAGAGATAGTAAAGTAGGTTGAGAAGTATGGATGGCTTTCACACAGATCATATCAATCTATCTCATGAGTTTTCACTATCGCTACTTGGTTAGATAATTAAAATAGCCTTGCCCCACTTGGCTTTTGTACAATTTTTTTAATTCTAATTTTTGTTTTCCTTATCTAGTGATAAACTTTTTTCCCTGTCAAAAAAAAAAGATAAATTTTTTGGTATTCTCTCTCTATATAGAACGATGGATTAAATGATTGTTCAAGTTTATCAACCAGTTTTTACGTGTAGACATATTTAATTTCTTTTCAAATTTACTTAATGAAATGAATTTAGTAAATATCTATTTGGTAGATTGTTTTGGAATCATGTGATACAAAAAGTAGAAATTTTGAAAACAAAATTTTTATATTTTCAATGTTTTCAGATTTTAAAATCGAAACTTTATAATGGAGGGATTATATTAAAAATGATACTTTACTAAATATATTATTTCATATTATAAACTCATTTTATTTTATATTTTTTGTTAAAATTAAAATAGGTAAAACTTGAAATATTAAAATTTGCATAAATATTGTAAAATAATAATGGTACAAGATTATAACATATATGTTAATAATTAATTAATATTATTTTAGTTATTTTGTTGGTAAGTACAATTAATTTATAAATATATTAAAATACCTTCAACCATTTTTTAAATTGAGAATCGATTTTCAAATATGTTATCAAATACATATAAAAATATTGAAACATGAAATACAAACTCAACTTTTCATTGAATCCGTTGTTTTCACATTACCAACTAAAAGTACCCTTACTTTCTCTATCAACACAGTTCTAACCCATCCATGGATAAAATCAACATCATCCAACTAACAACATTTTCATGTGTTCATATATATATTAATAAAATAATAATGGAATGATCCAACTTTTTTGTTATCAAATTTTAAGAATTTTTTCCTAAAGCAATACTGATGCAACAAGGGTAAGTAAGACAATTAAACTTCAATCCTGTTTACAACTTAAAACCCCATTTATATTTCAAGGAGTTCTTAGGGGTAGGCAGTCGTCAGATCGTTAATTAACTAATATAAAAGTAATTAACTAAGTTACTACATAACTAACTAATAAAACTAGCCGTTGGGCTGTTTAAAACAAAAGTACGCGTTAGGTCTTATTGAACCATGTTAAGACTAAGGATATATTTGGAAGTGAGAGTAGAGTGATTGATTTTGAAAAACGAGGTTTAAATATGATTGATTTTTCAAAATCATTATCCAAATAATATCTTAAAAATCAATTTAAAGTAATTTTAAACTTTTCTAAAATTAATATTTTCATTTGCCAAACATGATTCGGATAGAATTTAAGGCAAGAGAAAAGATCATCATTGTCTCATTAATTATCAAGATCAGAAATATGTACAACTCTCCCAAGTACAAAATAAGAAACTCAGTCCGTCACGAATACGGTGCGACTATTAATAACAACAGAAAGTAACTAATTGATGAATTAATAATTAGTTAAAATACTAGTTTCGTCGATATTTTTCAATTTTAATTTGCTTTGATTTTTATTCTTATACTTTTAAAATGTTAGTTTAGTTTCCTATATTTTTAAAATATAACTATGACTTTATATTAAATGATTTTTGTTATAGGTGAAATTTTTTATAAAAGTCCAAATGAATTGAAGCTAAACTACACGTAACAAAACTATATTTAAACCTAAAAAATAACTCTCGATTGGTCTCTTTTAATCAAAATAATAATAATAATAATAATAATTCTCCAGTGGTCTCTTAATTAAGCGTTAATGTATATTTAGCTTATTTTTTATTTCACCAAAATACATGCACGTTTATTAATGATGTCCATTCTTGCAATTAATCTCGATGGAGTCTATAAATAGAAGAGCCTCCTACGAAACATAACCACACAACTCATCCTTCCCAAAAAGAACACAATTTGTCAACAAAGAAGAGAAAGAGAAATGGAAGTAGCTCAAGTGCTTCACATGAACGGAGGAGCTGGAGATTTAAGCTATGCTAACAACTCACTTCTTCAGGTTACCATTATATTCCTCTCTCTTTTTTATTTTCACTGCAATCGGTTAGTTTAAATGTTTGAGTTTAGTGATAGTTTAAAATACGATCTAATGAGACTTGTAATGTTGTCTCGAACAGTTAAAGGTGATATCAATGACGAAGCCAATTGCGGAGGAAGCCATTGACAAACTGTACGGCTCAACTCTCCCAAAGACCTTCACCATTGCTGACTTGGGTTGCTCTTCTGGGCCAAACACCTTCATGGCAGTTTCCCAACTCATTAAGGCGGTGGAAAACGCCCGTCGAAAGCTCTGCAAAGACCCAATTGAGTATCAAGTTTTCTTGAACGATCTCCCGGGGAATGACTTCAACACCATATTTAAATCGCTGCCTGGTTTTCTCGAGAGTTTCAAGATGGAGATTGGGTGTGACGATCTGGGGCCTTGTCTCTTCACTGGGGTGCCTGGTTCGTTCTATGGGAGGCTTTTTCCGAGCCGAAGTGTGCATTTTGTGCACTCTTCT